ATGGATGGATGGATGGATGGATGGATGGATGGATGGATGGATGGATGGATGGATGGATGGATGGATGGATGGATGGATGGATGGATGGATGGATGGATGGATGGATGGATGGATAGATAGATAGATAGATAGATAGAGATAGATAGACCCGGCGATGGAAACTGGACTTCATTTTCTGCTTTGTGGACGGAGAGAGGGATGAAGAGGGATGATGGAGGAAGAGGAGGAAGTAAGCATTAGCAATGTTGTGATAAGAAGAAAATGCTACTTTCAGCACAGCTAAAATCAGATTGTGAAGATGGAGATAAACAAACACTATATAGTTGCCTTTGGATCCAGGCTGGAGGGCCGGGTGGCAGAAATATGGAGGGAGAGGCACAATGAAATCATTCTGCAAAGCTGCTGAGGAAAAGCTGCACTGTGTGTGTGTGTGTGTGTGTGTGTGTGTGTGTGCGTGTGTGCGTGCGTGTGTGTGCGTGCGTGTGTGCGTGTGCGTGTGTAGTAATAAAACCTGTTTTCAGGCATCCTTTTTCCCCTTGCAGCTTTCGGGCGTCTGCAGATTTTTATCTTCGTCTTAAATCTGCTTCTCTAAACGACCACAAACAACACGAGATGATTCACGTCGCCGTGTCGATATTCACGTCGGTGATCCGTGAATCAACCGTGTGTTGCAGTGAGATCTGACATCTAATTTCCTCGAGTATGTTTACTGATGTTTGAGTGTCCGAATCTATATCGTCGGCCTCTAAAGTTCACACGAATGAATGTGAAAAGTAGCCGATGCGACAGAAAAGGAAGGGTGAACTCTTTGGATGACCGATGACTTGATTCTCTGGTTCCAGCTGGTTTTCGTCGTCTTATGTGACAGTAAAATTAATCTCTTTTAGTTTTTAAATGTTGGTCGTAAACAATAATTTTAATCTGACACTGGAAAACTTTTTGGGAATATTTTCTGATATTTTATAGACGGAACTATTTATTAATTAATCAAGACATTAATCATTAGTTGCAATCCAATGTCACGTATTTCATGGATTCAAAACTTACAGTAATCCAATCAAAGTAACTAAAGCTGTCAAATAAATATCGTGGAGTAAAAAGAGCAATATTTGCCTCTCAACAGTAGAGGAGTGAAAGTTAGCATTAAATGGAAATACTCTAGCACAATTCTGAGGTATTTGTATCATACTTCAGTACAGTATTTGAGTAAATGTACTTAGTTACAGTCCACCTCTGAGGGATGACTCATCTCCCGTCTTTCTCTCAGAGAAACTCAGTAAAGACTAGTTCACAAGATGTCCGAATGGTTTCTACTCCACCAACAACGTGAAACACCACAAACTTGTTTCATCATCCGATAAAGTTTGTGAACACTTAAAAGTCTCACACCGGAACAAACGGAGAGAAATAAACTGAAGCGTTACGACCTCACAAGAAATAGTCACAGAAGGTCAAAAGCTGAGGGATTGACGTAAAACAAGTTTATACTGAAAATATTTCTGTGAATTTTTGGGTAATTTTTTATTTAAATCGATTTCCTACTAATTGTCATTATGAATTGTTCGATTGATCTATTGATCATTCATTTGGTCTCAAAAATGTTAGAAAATAGTGATTAAAAAAAGGTGACAATCAAATTGTTTGCTGCGTTCAACCAATAGTACGAGCCCCATAAAAATACCGTGATGACAAAGAATAGAAGTCCTCACATGTAAGGAGCTATAACACAGCAGCCTGGTCTCATCCAGCGTTCATAACGTTACCTAAGATAAAATAATGTGTCATAATCTATAAGATAACCTGCAAAATGCACGAAAAATGCGGAATAACTTTCCCTAAGATGTCATAGGAACCGTTGGATGGATGGATGGATGGATGGATGGATGGATGGATGGATGGGTAGATAGATGGGTAGATAGATGGATGGATGGATAGATGGACTAATCGTTTCTAGAATATAATTTAAGGGTTTCTGCATCAAACTTTCTCTATATCCCCCAGCCCTTCAACAATAACACAATACCTCCCCCCCCCCCCCCCCCCATTATTCCAGTAGACAGAAGCTTTTCCTTTGAGAGTCTGACGGCTTCAGAAGGACCACTCTGTATAATCAGGCTTGTTAAATGTTGCTCGCTGTAATTTAGTCGTCAGCACGATTATGAGACGACAGATCAGAGTCGACATGCAGCACATGTAGAGACACAACCAGCTCTCACACATGATCTATTGAGGTCGTGTGCACTAATCGTAAAATGCATGCCAATTCAGAAAATCATGCTCGAGTCACTACAGCAGTTATTCCCCAAAGACTGTCTGTAAATAAATTACTTCCATCGTCTTTTATTTCATTTTTTATTTGCATCTGCAGTTCACTTTTAAGCCACATGAGGGAGCCTGAATGTTCATATTGTTGTACTTATTACATTTAATCTAATATGAAAGGCTAGCCTTCATTTTGTTTGTTTAAGTAAAGTAATTTGGTCTCATTTATTAAGTATTTCACACATTTTTAATAACATGCATAAACATATATCTCTAACATATTCTAGATAGTATAAGGTGATGTGGAAATGGCAGGGGAAAAGGACAAATGGTCTATTTACGCACAAACTCTTCGTTTGTCATTTCCGTTGAAATCGGCAAGATGAAAGCAAACGTTAGCTAACTATCGTTAGCTGTTAGCAGCTAGTCCCGCCTGGCTAAATAACGGAGCTAACGGAAAAGCAACATTTAGAACAACGAACTTAATCGGACACATAGACCTAATATTACATAAATATAAAATAGATATTAGAGCGGGACCTGTTTAACTTTCTAACACTAGCTCTACGCAGCTTGTAGTAAAACTACAAATACCCCAAAATAATATTTAATGAAAGCAAATATTTAAATAAAATCATGTTTTTAGTGCAAATAACCACTATAGATGACACTAAATATGTAAATAGATAACATTTAGAGATTCTTTACCGTTTTTTCTGTCCAATTGTCCAAATCTTTGTTTATTTCTCTATTAATAGGCCTACATTTCCCATTGCTTAGGTTAATTGATGACTCTTAATTGCACTATAGATGTGAATGCCTGCATTCATGGTTGTTGATGGTCTTTATCTATGTGTCAGCCCTGTGGTAGTCTAAACCTTTGGCCTCAATGTCAGCTGGCATGGGATGAGAGGATACAGATGATGGATGGACCGTCGGAGTTTAGTGAGTTAGCGTGCTAACATTTTGCTACTCAGCAGTAAACACAAAGCGCAGCTGAGGCCGATGAGTTTTTGCAGATATTTTGGTCATAAATCAAAATACTGGACAGAAGAAATCATCAGGATCTGTCCTTCCTGTTTGGACCAGTCAGAGCAACAGTGCCATCTTAAAGGTTAAAGAAGCAACATGGCAGCAGCTGAAGCTCTTGGGTGGGAAACCTCTCGGCTTTGCTGCAGCGATGCAGAAGTGTGTGTCACACCGACAGAGAAACGAGCAACGGGAGGAGGCTGCTTCCAGCCTGGTAATAACTTTACCGCTCTCACAAATCACAATCCATCCATGAACATGTTCCACTGAGGGGGGTAGGGGGTTTTACAGCTCCTTATTGATCCACAAATCTACAACTCAATGTCACGTCTGGAGTCGGTTTGTAATGGGATTCAAGTTACAAACCAGAGTCCATAATTATCCTGTGATTTGTGCAAATAAGACTGGACGTCCCTGGTGGTGTCTGGCTTTCAATCCGGTATGTAAATGTGCCGCTGTGGCTGCAGCACAAACTAAATCTCACACTGATGAAGCTGCAGACACAACAAATAACAACACAGAGAGGAACTCTTCATCCTAGAGATACAGGGATAGATGTCAGTGACATAACAAACCCGCCATGGAGGACAGAAACCTCACAGCTGGGAGTAAAGATGAACATGAATAATAAAGTCTTTGAGGGAAAGTTGTCAAATGTGTTTCCCACTGCACTAGAAATGCCAAACGTGTGATAGCAGCAGGAAGACCTTGAAGTCACCTCCTCACACTAACACACACACACACACACACACAATATAAACCCCCATGACAGGTGTAAAAGTCTTCCCTACAGGATATTAAACGCTATGACAAAAGGACATTTCTTTGGTGTGTCCTGGTGCTTCAGAGGAAACTTTAAACTGTGAACTTTTACAAACGCTCCGTCAAGAATAGGGATGAGTATCGTTAGGATTATAACGATACTAGTACTCTTATCGATACCGCTCATCGGTTCGGTTCCTTATCGATACCGCTCATCGGTTCGGTTCTTTGTCGATACCGCTCATCGGTTCGGTTCTTTGTCGATACCGCTCATCGGTTCGGTTCTTTGTCGATACCGCTCATCGGTTCGGTTCCTTGTCGATACCGCTCATCGGTTCGGTTCCTTATCGATACTACTCATCGGTTCGGTTCCTTATCGATACTACTCATCGGTTCGGTTCCTTATCGATACTACTTATCGGTTCCTTATCGATACTACTTATCGGTTCCTTATCGATACTCTAGCTTTCATTGATGATCCTGTTCTTGTGATCAAACTCTGTATGACATCACTAACGTTACCTGCAGTGGACGAGGACATCTCACTCCAGAACTTCTTAAAGTACTAACAGTAGAACCGGTAACTCCAAACTTTTTACTAATTTAGAACCGGTTCCTTTCTAGAACCAGGTTTCGGGGGGGTCATCCCTAGTCAAGAAGAGCAACTTCAAAGTCTTGAATCTTTTTATGAGCTTTAATACAAAACAAAACATCAAGAATCTTCATTCCAATCCACTGACCTGAGAGAAGAGTCTTCAACTCCGTTAACAAACCTCTATTCGTGGCAGACATTTTGACCTTAAAAAGCAGGAAAAGCACAAGTGTAACCAATAACATTGACAACATTATATTATATTATATATTAAGAGCCATGAGGACAGTGAATCATGATGGACATCACAAACACAAACCAGCTGTTCTTTAAATGTCACATGCATAAATCTGGACAAATGATGCACAAAGCAAGAAATAATTCTTCTTGGCAACAAACAAAACATTTTATCAGACAAAAATTGAATTTAGATGAAGAAAATGAAGCAAAGCAAACAAATATAAATTGATTTGAGAAAATAGTTTTTGAAAGGTACATGAATGAAGAAGGAGCCTTATCTCATGTTAAGCTGGTTATTTTTGTGTATTTGTGATAAACATTAAATTCCTTATTTAGGCTATTGAAGACCATAAAGCAGGGGATGCTTTAGGGCGGGGCTACACGGTGATTGACAGGTCTCTACCAGAGACGTATACGGCGTCTCTACGTCACTCCTCCTCAGTCCAGATATGGTCACTTTCATTCAACGGTTGCGTAAGTCTGGAGCCTCGGTGTCAATTTTAGTTCTGAGAAAAAAAAAATCGTAGTCGGCCAATCGGTGGCTCTCTAGAGTGAACCCTCCTTTAATGCGGCTGCTGCGGCTGCATTTTAACTTTTAAGTTGTACCTGTGATGATAAAAATCACTCATCTTTATCTCTAATAAAGAAGAAACGCCTCCTCTTAATGTGGTAAAAACACGACACCCACAAACCTGAAAGCTGCCTTTCTACACACAGTCAGTACTGTCCCTCCTCACACTCTAGTATACACCCCATAATAAACACTAAGTGTGTTTGTGCAGACAATTAAATAAATTCAGTGCGATTGGTGAGAAAACGGAGACGTGGCCTCATTCCCTGGTGCAGAGGACATTAAACGAGCTCACATCACTGTTCAGACATTAGCAGACCTCAGGTCGTTATCTGCACTTTGTGTCCAGCGACTGTCGATCGGCCGCTGCTGAAAGAAATGTGACGCAGAGGTTCACAATTAAGCTGATTTACAACAGAGAAGAAGAACCAGCGTCTCTCTCTTCTCTCTCTGCGCTGCTTTTCTTCCACTTGTACACAGCTTCATATGAAAATACTGATGACTGAAGCATAAAAAGGTTTTATCCTACTTTTCATTGTCAGACCGGTTTTATTTTCCCTCCAGCCCTTTTGCATATCATCCGTCTTCATACTGAGGGTTTCGCCTGGTTTTCTTTTTAGAAAACACAAAATCTCCCTGAGCAATGCTATGTGACATCCACCAGCATCTGTCCTCCAACAACAACAACAACAATAAGCAGTAGTTTCTCTTCAATGAACCTCTATTCTCTGATTAAAGTCCTCACGTTTTTCTCTGTTTCTCTGATGTCTGACTTGGCGAGAAGAAATATGTGTTTAGTGTAAAAGATGGCGTCTCCACGTTTCTCTGCCTCCTAAAAATGACGTTCCAATATCCCAAAACTAATTGACTAAATAAGTCCACAAAGGTCCAGGTATGGAGGGGGTTTGGTTGGTGGAAGAGTCAAAATACAAAGTTTTTTGTTTTGCTTTATATCACAACGTTAACCACGTGTTAAAAAACTGTTTCAAACTGCTCTGAAATACACAGGACCTTCACCCAGGAGACGGCTGTTCATGTCCTGTGTGAAACAGAGTAGTTTTGTCGTGTTTTTGTTTCAATTTTGTAGTAATTTTAAGCCAAACCTAAATGTTTTTTACTTAATCTAATGGAGTAGTTTTGTAGCCTTTTGTTTTGTTTGATTTTACAACGTTGCCGACGTGTTTAAGAGAACGTAGTCCTGGAGAAAACACGTTTTCCTTGAAAGGTAGTTGAGCGTGCAGTGTAGTTGAAAGTGAGAGGAAAGTGATTTTGTAGAAACAGAGTTGTACGTGTTAGAAGACTTTTAAGCCCCATACGTCCTGCTGCATGTCAGCAGCTTGTAAGAGTTAATTGACATGCACTCCAGGGCCAAAGCCGGTCAAGTCGATACAATCTTAAAGCGGATGGAACGATGTGTCCCATAAATAAATAAAAACGTGGGTTCTGGTGCTTTTCAACCGGAAATCACGACTCTGTGGCAAAACATCTAAAAGTATTTTGATCGTCTTTCTTTGGTTCCAGAGGAATAAATTAAACAACACACGCAGACCGACTGCCAAGATAACCCTGGGTCTTTACAGAGCCAGAGGGAGGCAAATGAAGACATTTATTGTTAATAACTCTGCTGTGATGCAGCCTCAATGTTTCACTGCTATCTGTGAGAGACGTTGTTTGATTATACACTAAACTCTCACCCGAGTCTGCAGCCATTAAAGTCCTCTGATAATAAGAAACAACTACATGCATCCTCCTCATTTCATATAAGTGAAACACGCTTCCATGTCTGCCGGCTCCACAGGTGCTGCTCTCCAACCTCAGAAGACAAGAATCCCAGAAGCCATCACATCCCCTGTGAGGTCTATCTGTCTGTGAGTCTGTGCTTCATGGAGACGTTGTGGGACACCAGCGTCCCAACTGACTCTTCAAAATAAAAGACAGTAGTGTCTTCTATAACAAAGATTATCTGGCACACTAAATATAATTTGTATGAAAGAAATACGATTCATGGTTCAGTGATTTTGCTGCAAAGTGGTCCGTTAAGCTCTGTTATTATTATTATTATTATTATAATCAGATTTATAACTTGTTAAAGATCTGATTTGAGGGATTTTAAAAACACACCAGAGTCAACACAAACAGACAGAATAAATGTTTTTTTAACTTTTACTACTAAAGATGTTGTCGTGTTGTGATGGAAGGATTAGTACTGAAATTAATTGGGACCAAAAAAAGCCGTTTTATGTACTTTAATATCAGTTATGAGGAGCATCTGTGTTTAAATAAATCAGTTAGTTGTAAAGTAGAATTACCGCCTTATGGTTGTATTCCTCCACCACATCGGTCAAGTTGCAGTTTTTCATTATTAGCATGTGAATTCTTGATTTATGGCCAAAAAAAACGTGTTTTGTTACGTCACAGTGACCTTTCACTTCCAACATCCACTCCGTCCGTCTTTGAGTCCACGTGGACGTTTGTGCCTCCAGAAGAATCACGGTCACCACAACTCACAACCCTGAACATGAATACATAGAGAGAAGCCTCCGGCTGTAGCGGAGGTATGAAACATAAATCCATAAATAAGTACTAAGATATAATCAATGAGAAGACGTGGACGAGCTCTAGAACCTTCAGTAACCCTTTAAGAACAGAGCTGATCCTGTTCAACTCATTCTAAAAACTAAAACATGAACATAGTTCAAATAATGTGTTGAGAAATATTTAGTTTAAGTTTCTACATTCAGAAGAGTAGAGGAGAAAAATAATTGTGTGTTTATTTAAATGTGTTTATTTCTGCCCCTGTTTTAATACTTAATTACTGTTATATAATGATGTGTAGTTATTCTTTATACTGGAACATTTCTCTTCATAAAGGACATTTACACAAACGTCTTTATTCTCCTCTGACTCCTCAAACATCATGCGGTTTAACTTTTGGAGGCTCGTTTTAAAGTAGATTAGATTTGATTCGTCCCGTACACTGATTATTCATTAATTGATGCAATATTCTGTTTGTTTTACGTCTGTTACTCGTCTGTCTAATGAGAAAGATTGATGTTGTTTATAACTTTCTGCTGTTTTGTTTGTTTTGAAGTCAGTTATTTGTGCTTTTATGTGGAATGTTTTTCCTGCATCTTTCTCTCTCTGAGGAGAGATTTAAAATATCAATAAGACTCTTTAATAAAATGTGAAGAGACTGAATGACCTACATGTCCTTTTAGCTTAGCTTGTACATATTTTAGGGATGTGAAGGATTAGAAAACCCTCCAACAAACGATGACAATAAGCAAAGACACACAGACACGGGTGGACTATCTCTACTGCACAGCTCAGAGGGTTGAACTTCTACTTTGCTGTGAATTCGTTAGTCAGTTGAAGCTCCGACGCTTTCTCACACATCAGCGAAATGATGAAGCGTCTCTGCCGTCTCGCTGCTGCTTGGAACCAAAATTCCAGAAAAGAAAATGTGAGTTTTAACTCAGACAAAAGGAGCCGACGTGGAGGATCAAGACGGAGTCTCTGAATGTCAGAGTGCAAAGAAAACGCATCTCTGAGTCAACATCACCGTCGGCTCGCCTTCACCTGGTGGCAACCGCATCAACGGGCCTCTGATGTCGACAGCTTCCTCCCTCTCTGCCCTTCATCCTCCCTCCCTCCCTCCCTCCCTCTCTGTCTCCCTTCCATCTCCTTCCACATGTCAACAAGTTTGATCAGGCTGACATGGGAAAACTGCCGTTTGGCTGCTGCTCTCTGACAGATCCTCTACGCCGTCTCTTCTCTTTTTTTGCTCCACAGTCACTTCTGATTCCAGCAGGTTTGATCTGCTGCTGCACCACCACCACCTCCTCCCTCCTCCTCCTCCTCCTCCTCCTCCTCCTCCTCTTCCTCCTCTCAACCCCTCCTGGGGAGCTGAGGAAGGGCGTCTGGCTTCTGTCATTGAGGTTACACGACTCTCACAGTCATGCGGCACAAAAGAGATAACTTTGAGTATTCTGTGTTCTGTTCCCATGTAATCCTCTCAGAGACGGCGTCGCAGGATGACGAGCCTCGTGTCGGAGCCGCGTTACATTTTAAGAGAGCTGGATTCTTTTAGATTTTTTTCCTCCTAAATCTTATCTCCCAACGGGTCTCTCTGACACAGATTTGTGCGACGTGCTGAGAGGAGGGCATCATGTGAATCAATACAGATTAAAGATAGTGAAACCTCCATTTTGCCCCTCTGCCCGCCTGCAGTCAGCTCCCTCTGCAGTAGAACCCGTCGGTGAAGAAGAGTTTTATAGAAGAAATAAACACCTTCTCACTGCTGGAGGAGTAACATTACACCCGCTGCTCGATAAGAAAGGGTTTTAACCAATCTCCCAAGTTGTGGCTGTATTAATTAATCAAAACATATCTCCTTGATTGTCGTCTGTGAAGATATAGAAGGATTGAAAGTGTTTGAACGAGACAAACGCATTAAACTCACCAGAACAATAAACAGGTTAAAACCGTTAGCTATCCTTTTCATCATGTAGGTTAAACGTGTTTAAGTTCTACAAACATCTTTTAAAAAGTGTGTGTGGTTCAAAGACCGTTAACAAATCATAAATCGTATTAACTCGATTACATTTTGAGGTTTTTGTTGTTGTTTGTTTGTGGTTTAAATACACAGCTGTAGTATTCCTCTGGAGAGGAAACAGTGAAGGTATACTGTACCTGTTATAAACACACCTGAGTTAACAGGACTGCCCTCACTCCTAATGCCTCACTAATTAAACATTATTAATGATATGCACAGATCCGCCTAGATCTTTCTCCCACTTTAACATCTGAAAAATACAGATTTTGAGTTGCAAATTCGTTTTTTTTTTTTTGCAGTCACAGCTGCTCGTTTGTCTTCCAAGTGGACATCAAATGCTTCTGTATTCATAAACCGCTCCATTACATCCAGGAAATCATCACTCTTTCCATCGCTCTGACCGGCAGCAATAAATATCCTTCAATAGCCTCTTTCATGCCCCACATGCACCGAGATCCAGAACATCGTCCACACAGCCAGCAAACAAGCAGAGCTGCTGCCAGACGCAACCGACACCAGCACCCCCCCCATAGTCCCGTCAATATCTGCACTATAAAACGCACATCAAAGCACACTTCTGATATCTAAAAACAGGCTGCGGCACTTAAAACAGATGATTCTAACAGCATAACTCAATCAGAGGCTCTTTTCTCAAATCAAAGCAAATTAAAAACAACTTATGAGATGCTTCAAGTGTCCCACATTTTAAACATTCACACAAAATGTGCCAAAGATGTACTTTAACTCAAATGCATCTTTCAGACACGGACGCAGGCAAAGAGACAGATGTGCAGCATCACACTGAGGTGGAGAAGCCAGATGTGGAGGTTTCCCTGCAGCGTCACTCAAGTTAAGAAATACCTGCAACTACAGAACGGACGGAGAGAGAGAGGACATGCCTGGGAAGGAGGAATTGCCCATTCTCCGCCTCGATGCGCCCGTTCACCGTCCTCTTTTTACCGCGCCGACACTTTCTCTCTTATCTTCTTTACAGCTCTTCTTCTCCCATTCGCTCTTCCTCCTCCTCCCTTACTGTTGTTCCTCCAGGTTTATCCCTCTTCTTCCCAGCGCGTCCATGCCTCGGCTGTGTGTGTCGGATACACTGAGAGGCGCTCCTAACCGTGTCTTAGCATGGCCACTGAGTAAACTCATGTTTTATGGATGCGGAGCCCCCCCGCCCCCCTCCCCGCGCTGCCTCTCTTAAAGGGCCAGCGTCAAAAAACCCTCCGATCCGACAGCTGCCTTTGATCTCCGCGGCCGTCGTTAGACGCAATGAATGTCGTCCGTGGGAATATACTGAGGAGCTGAGGAGAGGAAGCCATTGATGGAGGGATGAAAAGGAAGACGGGAAAATTTTAAAAATGCAGATGTTTCTTTGACACTTTTCCTTGCAGACAAATTAACATCGGCGATGATTTATGAATGCCAGCGAGCAAAGCGTGGAATAGTAAAAACACTGATATCGTGAACGGTACGGTGTGTGTGAAGGTGTGCGTGTGTGTGTGTGTAGGTGTGTGTGTGTGTAGGTGGGTGTGTCCACAACCGAGGATATTGTCAAAGTAGATCCAGCACCAGCTGTAATTCAATCCTCAGGTGAAGGCCATAAATTAATGAGACGGAGTGTGTGTGTGTGTGTGTGTGTGTGTGTGTGTGTGTGTGTGTGTTCAGGGTCACAGGAGCCGTATGTCATGCACACTATGACACCTGATAACTGGATCTCTCCGTGGAGGGGAGTGAGGAAATGTTTGGTCACCACAAAACGGGATTAAAGAGGTAAAAAAAGAAGATGAGCTGATCTCAACAAACCGACTAGCAGACGAGAGTTCATCTCTGCATCCCGACAAATAGAAACACGGAGGCGACACGGAGTCCAGTTTGTTGCTCGGTGGCCTGAACTCACTTGCTGGTAAATAAAACATGTCGATAAATTAAAGATAGCGCTCTGCTGGGCCTTGAGAGGGAGGACGCTCCCGACCTCATAACGCTCCAGAGGGTCTCCTCTTCTGCCCTTGAGGGACTCCACACACACACACACACACACACACACACACACACACACACACGTGGGTAATAGACAACATATATCAGGATGATGTGTGCTCGGCCTCGGTTTCTCTCTCCTGGATTCTCATCGAGGATCGTTATTATTTTTATTTATTTTTTTGCGAGGCGACATTCCTCGGCACCGTTCCATTTAGGTGGCGAGGTAATTAACGCGCTAAGTCACAGCTCAGCGAGAGACAAATGGCCCCCTGAAGAGAGGAGAGGGGGTGTAATTAGGGAGAGAAGTGGGTGAGGTGAGGGAGAAAGGTGAATGTCTGGGCGGGAAGTTTAGTCCACATTTAGCGGGGAGACTATTTTGATTATCGATTGATCTGTCGGTTGTCATTTGTACGATGTTTTTACTTCTTTCTTTCCTGTTTAGCTTGGTTATATTTCAAGATGGTGCCTCGTATCAGAATATTAAAAACAAAAACACTAACAATGACATGGACTAAGAAATAAAGTAGAATATTTTTACTATTTCTCTCATTTCTTTGTAGTTTTAATGGTCATTTATTTTATTTCACTTATATATGTTAGCATGTATTGTCTTCTTAGTGCCCGATTTATTTTCTATTTGGACATTGAGTTACTTGAATGGAAATCTATAAATAAAGTGTATTATTATTAACAGTTTTTTTGTTGTTTTTTTAGATATTTCTCAAGTAAGTTTCTGTCGTGAAGAAACTGTCTAACGTCATTTCACAATCTTTTCCTAAACCTAACTCAGTATTTCACAATCTTTTCCTAACTCTAACTAACTTTTCACGATCTCTGTTGACATCTGGCCGTTTCCATGAACATGCCATCAGTCTTTTTGACGTCCTCTCCTCTCCGTCTTTGGGTTATTGCTACTGCTCTGTGGGTTTGATATATATGTGGTGATATATACAGTATATATATTTGATACATTTGGTGATATATATATTTGATATATGTGGTTTTACCGTCTGCAACGTCGGCCTCATCCTCCCGATTCATTATTCAGCTCCTCTGGTCAGACTCTCTCGCTGTCGCCAGGGATCCATGAATCTGAAATTATCCCGTCATCTGTCCGTCTGGCTGTCTCTTCTGTCTCTGCTCTGTATTTATTCCTTCTGTCTTCATCTGTCTGTTTCTGGGCTTTGTCCGTCATTCACTCGGCATGTCGTCTCGTCCAGCTGTCACCTCTCAGGTCTCTGTATTCAACTTCAAAAGGTTTTTCTTAACCTCTTCCTCTCCTCACTGCCGTCCCTGATGTCCACATCTAAAAGGCATATCTGTTAAATAAAACCCGATGTTAATTCAGGTAAATATAACAACTTCTATGTTATGATGCAGGGCACACGCTGTGGCAATGTATCCTCATTCAACAGTTCCTATGATATCTTACCAAAACCCAACGAAAGTCCAGCAACACGTGACAATTTACGCTCGTTATATACATACAGTCTTTTCAAAATAAACTTCCGTCTTCACAGGAGACACCTCAGTTAGGTTTAGGAAACAAAACTTTAGTTAGGTTTAAGAAAAGATCGTGAAATACTGAGTTAGGTTTAAGAAAAGATCGTGAAATACTTAGTTAGGTTTAGGAAAAGATCGTGAAATACTTAGTTAGGTTTAGGAAAAGATCGTGAAATACTGAGTTAGGTTTAAGAAAAGATCGTGAAATACTTAGTTAGGTTTAGGAAAAGATCGTGAAATACTGAGTTAGGTTTAAGAAAAGATCGTGAAATACTTAGTTAGGTTTAAGAAAAGATCGTGAAATACTTAGTTAGGTTTAGGAAAAGATCGTGAAATACTTAGTTAGGTTTAGGAAAAGATCGTGAAATACTTAGTTAGGTTTAAGAAAAGATCGTGAAATACTTAGTTAGGTTTAAGAAAAGATCGTGAATACTTAGTTAGGTTAACTTTCACAAACTTAGTTTTGTATTTCGGTGATTTTGAGTCGAGACTAACTGTTCTGAAAACAGAGGTCGTGATGGAAACAGACATCGGTCTGAATGCGACAAAGCAGTTTTATTTATTTTTTGTAGTCAATGCACTGATGTATATGTGCATGCTGCAGATATGGGTACTGATCCTAATATTTTAAACGTTATTTGTATTATGTGTTGTGTTTTCTCTCTGTACTCGACACGGATACGAGCTTTGCTTCTGGCCTCGGATGCTTTGGTACCGAATAATTGTGCACAAGACATCAAACTTTCTCAAATTACCTTCACTGAAGGTCTGTTTTTATGTTCATTGTATATTTATCTTCCTTTATTGCAAAGCACTTTGTACCGTAGTTCTTGTATGAAATGTTCTGTAAAAAGTTTATTGTTATTATTATTAAAAATATAAAACCTGTTTGTTTGTGTGCTCAACTGCATGAATAATATATTTCTCATAATCATAAATGAGGTGTTTTGAAGAACTTACATCAGTAATAACTGACCTTTTTTATCAAAACAAGAACACACACACACATATACATATTAATACATATATATTAACTAATTATATATATATATAATTAAAGCAGGGACCAAAAAAAGTCTTGTTTTTTTCAATGATTTCAGGAACCTCGAGTGGGTGGAAACACAAATGAATATGAGCCATTGACAACACGGAGCAGTAGATTGCATCACTACGTTGTTTTAAATGTTTTCATACATCATATCATGTCATTTATCCACAGCTGTACTACAGACGGCCCTGAGCCTGTTGGGTAATGAGTATTAGTCGTTGGTCTTACATTAACGGGTCGCGTACAGAATTGATTCAGACATAACGGTGATTGGTCGGTTACAGCACTGAGCTTTAAGACCGGACCCGAACAGAACTTCTTTACGTCTCGCATCTAGTCTTTCAGTAGAAGAAGAAGACTTTTGGTGGGAAAAGGAGGATGAAGAAAAGGACTTGAACCAGGATACAACAGAGGAGGAGAGCGCTTCAAATAAAATCAAATTAAAGGAGTGCTTCATATTAATTGCATTCACACCTTGATACATTTAATTACCTGGAACCACAGCATCAAAAGCCTCAATCTCCTGCTGGAAAACACTGAAAAACACTTTTAAACGCATTAAAACTCACATCATCGTGTCAAGCTGTTGATATATTACATCTGGTGAGTCTGTCATTGAACACTGAGAACGAGTGAGTCGACTGTCTTTAAATGAGACGTCTGGATTCTGCCATCAAGTGTCTTTTTGTTTGTCACTGATTTGGTTTTAATTGTCTCGTTCTATTCTCGTCTTTCACAACAATCAGGCAGATGTTTGCTGAAAGTAGGTCAGGGTAACACTCTGTTGTGTTCATCAAGCTCTAGACCGACTGGACAGATTCTTTTAACGATGCTGACGGACATCATTTTAAAAGAAAGATTCAGAAAAACAAAGGAAGAGACCACAGAGACTTTGCTATAGACGTCGCTGACTTTAAACGTGGCTTGTTGACCAATAAATTTTTAAAATTAATGTAGTTTTGCCCTTTGGAGCTCCGCCAGACTGTCACAGATGATCAACAACATAACCAGGACGCGACGTCTCCATAACCTAATGTACATTCTTAGCTGCTGGCGGCAGAATAAATTGGAGAAAACTGTGAATTCGGATGAGAAGAAATGATCCTTTCATTGTAGAATTAATGAGTCTATACAAGAGCAGCTCAATAGTTTCTCCTGCTTTCCTCCCTGCAGCCCTGAAAACACACAAATCACTTATTTATGAGCTGGTTTCTGCTTCTTATTTATTAAAAGAGCTCCTTTTAATTGTTTTTTTTAAGAATTAACATGTTTTCATTGGAATTAATTATTAGAAATAATCTAGTTTTCATGCCAGCTGCACATTGTGTCTGTGTGGACTTTAGGGCTTTTTGTTGTGTTTCTATGAATCTGTGGGTCAGACAGTGACTGTTAATACTGTGACTAAACGTTGTTCTTGACATTTAGCAGCTCTGTCTCCGTGCACATCACTCTACTGTTACACCAACGACGCGACCTTAAACCTGGCCTCGCCGTTTCACTACGCACCAACCAATCCGACTTTCTTTAGTCCTGATACAGATAGCTGGGCTTTAGGTATCAGACTCCCAAACAGCTCAGTCAGCGTTACCACTGGAAGCTGCTGCAGCAGAGCTCAAACATCGACTCTGTGAATCAATCCGGGGGAAAATGTGCCAAACCAAAGGAAGGAGCTCCTTCACCTAACGTGAGCGGTTTCAGCCCAAAGCTACTCTCCACAAACACTTGTTACACCATATAAAGGTATAGATTAACCCTCTGAATAATCGATAGAACTACACCGTTCAGCACAGTCAGAAGCTGTAAAAGTGTCATAATCGTCATATTATCAGATTTTCAACGGTCCTTGAACACACCATGTGTGACCAACGCTTCCCTCAGCGAACTCAACTGAAACAAAGCTTAAATTTACAATATTTCATCAGAAACATTTTATTCTACAAGTTTCATTTGAACTTTTGCCCCAAATAAACCGTTTACTCTAAAAAGCATTAAATTCTGAGCTCTTCAGTGAAACTATGAAGCCGTAACTGATTCATCTGAGACCAACAGTCACATGACAACAATTCTTTCAGCTGAAGGCTCCACAATAAAAGCAAGCTTATCTTGCATTCGGCATGAAAGTTTTTAAAGCAAAGGGAACAGCCAACAGGAAATGGGTGGAAAAAATAAAAGGCCTCTAAAACCTCTCATCTTGGAGATGCAGCTGGTATTCTAGTGAAATATTGTTCTTCAACTGCTTCTCTTGTTAAACCCAGCAGCACGACTTTAGATAAACATGTCAGTGAGAGTCTTGTAAGTATCTTTTATCACTATAATTCACCTGGAATAATATCCATATATACGGTTTTATCTTTGCTTTGATATCTTTATGGCAAATGTCTGATTGGACTGTTAACTTTTATGATGGGTTGTTGTTGAGATGCTCCCAATTAAAGGGCCATACACATGATTTACTAAAGTACAAGGTTCACCGACAAATAAACTGCACTGCTACATTCATACTTATGTTACTGTTACCTTCATATTGGTACACACGCAGTCAATACACCGGCGTGAACCCTGACAGAGAATCATAAGTAGTATTCTGAAATGGGCCATTCTGCAGAAAGGGTACTTTGAATGTGTCACTTTCAGTACATTTTAATGCCAATACTTCTGTACTTTCGCCACTTTTGGATGTGACCTGGTTCTTTCAGTTTAGTATTGTCACATGTGTCACAAAGGGCAACGGTCCATTCTCTATACCTGCTGATTCAAGGTCCCTATCCCAGCATGCATTGTGCCAAAGATAAAGAACCCCTCCACACCTCAGCGTGCTGATTCAGGGCTCACGTGAACATATTCTCATCTCCACTTCACCCCAGAGCGACACGTCTTTGTTACTGTGAAAGCAGACTGAAGGAAACCACTGCAGCAGAGTGAGAATACAGCCGCGGCTCACAGAGGAGAGCTCGCTCACCATTCTCACCGGTACAAGAAGTCTTTTCATCACGTAAACGACCACTTTAACGCAGTTTACGTGGGTTCGCCCACTCTCACCTCGCCGAGAGCACGAGAATAAGGAAAAAGCTGCAGAAAGATTCTTGATTTATAACTTGAGCAGCAGCTACAGGTTATTCTCGTCATCCGTGAATCTGCACATTATTTCCACGGTTAATTGTTTTAACTATAAACTGTACTAGCTAACGTTAGCTAACCACTAGCTAACGTTAGCTAACCACTAGCTAACGTTAGCTAACCACTAGCTAACGTTAGCTAACGTTAGCTAACCACAGCTAACTAGAAACACAAGAAACAAACGCTAGCTTACCGTTAGCATGCTAGCTCGCTCATCCTGATGACGACGCAGAAACAAACAAAACAAACTCATTTCTTGAGTTGGAAACATTTCGCTCCACTTTTCTTTTTTTTCTGTCTTTCAACCGCTAATTTAAAATTAAAACTGCGCCATTTTTAGCCAATTTTCTTTATCTTGCCAACACTTCAACTCGTGCGCACACGTGGTGGTGTTCGATTCGAGTCACCTCACAGCCTCGCCGGGCGGTGATTACAATTAGTAATAAGTCAAGTTGTTTTGTTTTTCTTCACTCCGACCGATTGAAAATAAAAGTAGAATTTTTAGCATAATGACACCTACTTACTTAATGTACATAAATAGTTTTTTTATTTAACTATATCATAATGTCGAAATATAAGTAAAGATAAAAAAAAATTGACCGATAAATCCTTTTTATTTATGGTGGAAGAAGTATCTTAAATAAAAAATACTACCACAGGGTAAAATTAATCTACCGCATTTAGAATCTTACAGAAGTAAAAGTATCATCATCAAAAAGTACTTAAAGTAGAAAAATATAACAATAGGCCCATTATATTATAGGATTATAATTATTGATACATGTTCATATCTTTAATGTAGCAGCTGGTGAAGGTGGAGCTCATTTAAACGACTGTAGATACTGCTGGGTAGTTTAATAATATATATATATATATTTAATAATTGATTTGTTTTGTATTAATAATCAGATTTTGCAATGTAACTAAAGTTATCAATGAAGTGGAGTTAAAAGAATAATATTTGCTGTAAATGTAGAGTAGAAGTAAATAAAAGGAGCATAAAATAGAAATGTTTGATTAAATTGAAAAGATGTAAGATGACGTGAATATAAACAGAATTGAGTTAAATATAAAACTGTTTGGACGGTTCATTCCGTCAGTGATCAAACACACATTAATAACTGAGCTGTACATTCATGAGCTCCTCTTTGACCCATATGTATTCTGTTCCTTTCACCCTCTTAATTTACCTGGCCAGACAAGCCCCCCCCCCCCAAAAAAAAGATGAAAAAATTGTGTTACCATAGCAACTCCATCCACAGAGAAGGGCTGCAGCACACGTGCGCACACACACACTAATGCAGAGAGAGTAGGTCAGTGGCTGAGGATCTGGGATCAGTGCAGCCTGCCATCGCTCCACAATAACCTCCAGGCTGCCTTTCATGTTGCTCCACCAATCAGCTCCGTCAGGACTCAGTCCAGGTTCTCTTAGTTTTGGGCTGATAATGGTTTTATAATCATCCGACTTGAAGTCAGGCAGGGCAGCACTTCCTCCGCTTAGTGTTGAGATACCGTTTCCACTAAAAGAGTTTCAATATTTTTGTTCACCCAGTTGTGAAATGGAACTCAATGTATAAGCAGCGTAACTATTTATTTTATGCTACTTTATACATCACTATAATTCAAGGAAGAAGTGAAGTTAGTAATGTGCACTATTGGGACATGAATATATATACAGATGGAGAGGAGAGAGGAGCTCAGTGTATCATAGGAAGTCCCCCCATAGTTCAGGCCTGGAGCAGCATAACTAGGGGATGGTTCGAGTATACGCCCGAGCCGGCCCCGAGTATAAACCGTGCAGAGAAGCTAATATAGGAGAAATATGATCTCTTAGACTTTTTCTTCTACATTGACAGAAGTATTCAGATTCTTTACTGGAGTAAAAATAGCAATATCAGTGTATAAATACACCATCATAAGTAAAAATAGCAATAGCATTGTATACATACACCATCATAAGTAAAAATAGCAATAGCATTGTATACATACACCATCATAAGTAAAAATAGCAATATCAGTGCATAAATACACCATCATAAGTAAAAATAGCAATAGCATTGTATACATACACCATCATAAGTAAAAAATAGCAATAGCATTGTATAAATACACCATCATAAGTAAAAATAGCAATAGCATTGTATAAATACACCATCATAAGTAAAAATAGCAATATCAGTGCATAAATACACCACCATAAGTAAAAATAGCAATATCAGTGCATAAATACCAAGACCAGTGTTGACTGTAGCTGCTCCAGATGGAGCTACTTTTACAGTTTAGTCCAGTGGTTCTCAACCTAGGGGTCGGGCCCCTCCAAAGGGTCACCAGATGAACCTGAGAAGTTGTGAGATGATTAACGGGAGAAAAGAAACTAAGTCCTAAAACACAAATTATACTTATGTATTTTATTTAGACTTTTCTCCTAATGTTTGCGTTTTGTGTGACAACTCTACATCAAACAATTGTTTAAATAAAAGCATGGAAGAAGTTGTGGAGGGCATCTCTTGCATACATCGACAAAAGTTGATATTTATGAAAATGTTTAATATGAAACCGTTTATTCAAAAATATAAAACGGGTCTGAAAATGACAAAACATTCCCAGGATGTATAAAACTAACAAACCCTGTTTAGTAAAAATAAAAAAAGACATTCTAAGAAATACATCTTCATGATAAAAAGCAAACAGTGCAAATATTCAAAGTAAAAGAAAACAACCACGGATAACAAAAAAGGTCAGAAACACTTGATTTTACAGGTGCGTCATTTCCAAAGAAGTTACCTGGAATGTAATATGTCATTTGGTTTTACTTCGATTTATAATTGTAGACTTTGAAGGTTTAACGTTATTCGCTGTACTTTGAAATCGGCAGGAAAATTACACAGGCCTGTAGAATAGTGTTACCACCAAAAAAAAAAAAAAAGCAGTTTATTTTCTCCCAGAGCTTTAACCAGATCTTATGGTCTTCCTCAATAAGCGACAAGGTAAAAACCCTCATAAAACCTGTTTGCATTCATATATTTGGTAGTTTAAACATCACAAATCGCAGTTCCCTTCACCATCATCAGTCAGAGGAGTGAGGAGTTTACATGCTACACGATTGCAACCTGGGTTATTTTCATGATTATAATATCACAATGTAAAATATTAAAGTGTTCATTTCTTTACACCAGCTGGAAAAAAAGAAGCTCAGACTCAGAGCGCCCTCTGGTGGCGACAGTCGCTCAGTGAGATCTGGTGAAAAGAACAGACGAATCTCATCACACCGTGGCTGTGATGTGGATCCCAATCAAAGTGCACTGCAAGTGTGTCCAACGGGGCGGGGGGCTTCATTAGTTAAAAATAAAAAAGTAAAAATACTAAAGAGGGAGTCCACGTCTCAAACCCCAAAAATATCACAGACTTCCACAGAATCCAGTTTATCAACTGCTTCTTAGATATGAACACAATCCGATGCTCAGGTTTTGGACCTGAAGGCGTCCGATTGTGGCCCCCAAAGAGAGTTGTGGGTGGGGGGGGGGGGGGACCTCATAGAGCCACACAGACACAGGGGTGTTTGAGGCAGACGGGGAGGATGCCCTTGTTGATCTGGTGGAACTCCACCAGCTGCAGGACGTCGATAAAGAGAGTCACGCCGTCGTCCATGGTGTAGTACTTCCTGCCGTCGTCCTCGCACTGCAAGAGACGGTCACAGTTAGGATGCACAGTAAAAAAAAAGGAGGCGCGTGTTCCTTTAAGAGGACGAACGGGAACTCACAGGGATCACCAGGTAATGTTTGGTCTTCAGCTTGGAACACAGCGAGAGGACGAAGCACTGAGCGTGCTGCTGGCTCTCACGGATCAGGAACATCCTGCACATCAACGCACGTGAATAAGGAACGCAACTATTAAAAAAAAGATGCATCCTTCAGAGTGTACAAGGTTGCGTTTTTTACTGGATCTCGTCCACTCACCCGTCTACGAGGCCCTGCTTCTCTATCAGTCTCTGCGTCTCCTTTCTGGACACGCGACCATGAAACCAGGCCTGAGACTTGTGGATCGCTGCTAACAGAACAAACATAAAGAGACGGTGAGCGTTTCTCTTTTCTGACACACATCTGGAATAGTGGACAGATGATGCAGTCAGATGTCATATTTAAACATGGGCTCAAAAGCACAGATGTCTCCTTTTCTTAAAAAAAAAAAAAAAAGCACGTTTCCTTAACTCATCTCTCCTCGTTTGTGGACTGATGGTTTGGCCGTCGCCATGTTATTTTTTAACCAGTGAACAGGAAGTGACCATATTAGGACTGAGGAGGAGTGATGTAGAGACGCCATATACGTCTCTGGTAGAGACCTGTCAATCACAGTAAGCCCCGCCCCTAAAGCATCCCCTGCTTTATGGTCTGTGTGACTCTA